TTTTTTGTTAAGATTATCTCAAATTACAATAGAACTGGAAATGAGTACCGTTTTTTTACGAAAGGTGATAGCAAACACGCCTTACGTGACTCTACGTATGTTATATTCCACCGATAATGCATCAAAAATGGGAGGGGTGGAGTGGGTGGGAAAAAACTTGCCCAGCACGGAGGTTTCTAGGAGAGAGGTCTGCAACGCGATGCTCAAATGCTTAAAAATATAGTCTTAACCTATTTATATCCCGGAAGTGACTCCATTCGGGAAATTAATCATGGGGCAGGTCGCACAAAATTTTTAATCCCTTTGGTAACAAACCTCATTGATGCCCCTTGCTCCCTTACTAAGTATTGTATTTCACAATGTGTATTGCTTAGGCTAACCACGGTTTGCTGGGAAGAGATCGAACTAAACTGACACAAATCTTTGTCATAATTTGGCCACTCAGTTGAGTCNGGGGAGGGGTAGAGTGGGTGGGTAAAAACTTGCCCAGCACGGAGGCTTCTAGGAAAGAGGCCTCCAACGCGATGCTCAAATGCTTAAATATATAATCTTAACTTATTTATTTCCCGGATGTGACTCCATTCGGGAAATTAATCACCGGGCAGGTAACAAACCTCATTGATGTCCCTTGCTCCCTACTCAGTATTGTATTTTACAATGTGTATTGCTTAGGCTAACCGCGGTTTGCTGGGAAGAGATCGAACTAAAGTGACACAAATCTTTATCATAATTTGACCACTCAGTTGAGTCAGCGGCGGTTTTTCGTTAAGATCGTTTCAAATTACAATAGCTAACTATTCAAAGCGGTCCCTTTCATGCTTGCATAATGTTTGGAGAAAAATGGCGACCGCGGAAACTCAATCGAAATGTGGAAACACACAACACCCACCTAAACAAACGAGATGACATAAGACAAACCAAAACTCCAAGGGAAAGGAAGAGGAAAAACAAAAACACAAAGAAACCACCCAAGGGATTGTAGCCTGAGCACCAGTAATCC